CCTCTGGGGCTGACGCGTCAGCTCGCTCTTCGTTCCTCCTCGTCCTGAAACCCGTTGTATTTATACAGGATAATTGTCACCGGCGCAATCTCTTTAAATCCCCTCCGACGCCATAATCAAATATTCGTTGCATCCGCGAAACGGCGCTCCTCCAACGGGGGCGTATCGACGATTTTACTGGCGTGCGCGCAAAAATATCGCGGAATTTCGTTTCCGCCCCGTTCGGGCCAATTTGTTCCGCGCGATATTCCTCCCAATTTGGCGCTATCGAGGTGTTACATCCGATTCGGACGATACGTCCTCTAATTTCACTTTCATCGGGCTGATAAGTCAGACCGCGGACAGATATTGAATAAAGTCGTGTCGCCGTGATACGTTCTTTTTTGTCCCCCGCGATCCGCAATCCTCGTTAGGACGATCGAGGCGCCCGCCGAATGCGCGCGCGCGTCTAATTTTCCCCGGGGGCGCATTTCGCGACGCGACTCACCGCGTGGATCCTGACCTTTCCGCAACGGTAACCGGAAATCGATGCCAGCTCGCAGACACGTGCCACGCGACAAATACGACGCCGTTCGAGACGACGTCGGCAAGTTAGCCCCTACTTGGGGCTAAAAGGGGTGAAAAGAGGAACCTGCATGCTCTCTCTCTCTCTCTCCCTCCCTCCCTCTTTCTCTCTCCCTCTTTCATGAGGGGGTGCAAAAGGAGTAGGTAGGAGGAAATAATGCGAGTGCTGCCTGGAGAACGGTGTGCCCGACAAAATTACAATTTGGGGGATGTAATTCCGCCCCGGAGAAATGGCCCTCCACATACCGCGCGCGGCGGGGTCCGGGACGGCAGTCGGAGGAGGAGGAGGGGTCAGGGGGTAAGTAGGCAGGGAGGTGGGAGAGATTTATCAACAGCTCGTTCCGCACTAACTAGACGCCGGAAACTCGAAAGATATTGCATCAGCGAGGCGATGATAGCGCCACGACGACTGGCATTAAATTGCATCCGGCCGTTGCAGGAATTTAGCCGCCATTACGGCACCTCTCTCTCTCTCTCTCTCGCCTATCCCCCCGTCGCATACACACCCCTTCGTAGCGCACTTCCCGTGCGCCTCTTCCACACACACGACGACACGGGTGCGAGAGAGCGGGTGGCCAGGTGTTCCGGTGGATGTCAGTCGCGAAATATTAACTCGCCCCTATCGAGAGACCCTATCGAGAGGATCTATCGATTACATGAAGGCAATAATAACGTCCTTTAATAAATAATGAGAATTAATAACTCGCCTTATCTCCGGGTGTAAAAAAGAGATTAACAAAATGGATGTACAGGTGAAGGAGCGTATCTTCCGCTTCTCTCGCAGCAGCGTAGCAGCTCTCTCTCTCTCTCTCTCTTTCGCGAGAGGAATTTCTCGTAAAAGCCGTAGTTTCTTATAGGGGGAAAGATAGCCGAAAGGGGCGGGGGTTAATTTAAAAATTTCATATCGCGAGATATCGCTACGGCTAATTCTATATTGACCCTTTCTGAAGGCGATCGTGCGGAAACCGACGGTTATAATATGCGCAAATGCAAATTGACGTGCGCCATAACAGGGTCGCAGTGTTCGCGCGAAGCTACTCGGCGGGCGGGCGAGTAAACGTTTGAGCCGAATAAGAAGCTCGAGGAGCGAGCGAGCGCGCGTTACTCTGCGGGTACGAGAGAGGCGGATTGTGCGAGGTCGGAGGTTGGGACACTCGTGCCTCCGGGGCTCTTTCCCCGATCAAAACCGCCAAATGGATAAATTACTCCCTCTCTCGCGCCCACGTCTTGGCAAACTCACCCCGAAACCGTGTGTTCACCCTTCACCTGCCGCCGCGAAAGCCGCAACTTGACGGGGAATCCGTCGCCCTTCCGAGCGATTTCACGCTTCGCGAGGTGGCGGACGGGATGGATGGGGCGCGATTTTATCGCGGGGCGTATCGATAAGTAATAACGCGGAGGGGGGAGAGCGGACTTTCCTACGCGCGACGTGTGTCTCCCGCGCGAAACGGCGGATTAACCCTTGAAACGGATTAACGGGCGGAATCTTTTATGCCGTCGGGCTTTTGATCGCGTCGAATTAAGCTTCCTGGAAATTAATGTGCCAACCGTGGCTACCACCACCACCGAGGATCCCCGCGATCTGCAGTTGCAGCGCACGTCTGTGTAGCATCGCCCACGTCTGTATAATAAACTCTCCCGGCCGATTGAATTATTCGCGACCGACTGTGTGCTCGCTAATAACCGTTCGCTCGAGAGAGCGATGTAAAAATGAACAGGAAAGGAGACGGATTGAAAGGTGAAGGGTAAAAGAGCGAACTTAATTATAGATCGACGTGGAGCGTAATTTGCGCCCGCTCTCTCGATTGAGCCGACCTGCAAAGGGATTAAGCTGCGCACGGAGATTGGACTTGTCGAAGCGTACGCCATCGAATTATCCCCGCGAAGATTCATGAATGTTTACTTCAGCCTCGCGTCGTAAGTCCTTACCGCCGCGCAAGCTGGATCCATTCGTTGTTTCTCTTCCTCTCGACCGGCGTAAATCATTAGATTTACGACCGCCGACGCGCGTCGCGGTACTTCCGCTCTCCGCGGCTCGCGAGTTTCACCCGACGGAGAGACGCGTCTAATAAGCTCTCACACTCGGCGCGGAAATTGACGGATAGCGATCGATCGATCTTCATATCGGCCGTGAGAGGAACGCCTTCCCGGAAGAACCGCTACACGCGCTACCTAAGGGCGCGCCTTACGCGTAGTGACATTCGCTGACGCGATGCGTCACGATGCCGGACGTTATGAGAACAAGTCGCTTTCCCCAGGTAAGGGACGCGCGAACTGAAAGTGAACTTCCCGCCGCCTCGGTCGCCGGGCATTATTCGAGGTCGCGCGCATCGCGTGTCACTTAGCGTGGCCGAAATGGAGCTCAGGCAGATTATTGTGTCCGACAAGAAGCGTGATTTCGATCGTGTACGTATGTACGTGTGTATGTATGTGCAATACGCGCACATGCGCGAAATGTATAGCGTGCCGCCGGCTACCGTGCACGTGGGTGCCACTAATTCGTATTTAAAGCTTTATCGGACGTACCCCGCGCGCAACAATTTCACGGTTCACAGGAGCCATCCGGCATCCAGGGTCGTCGCCACCATCACCACCGTCGCCGTAACCATCCACCTATATCGCGCACCGGCTCAAGCACCCTGAACACCGAGGCCGCGAATACCGGCGGTAGTCACTTAGATAAGTACTTCGCCCGGGTGTCTTCTGTACAATGAATGAACAGAAACTCGATACTGGATACGACGCATGTACCCCGGTATCTTTACGACCCTGAAGTGACCTGTAGTTAGGTTTCCTCCGGGGCGGAGTCGAACTAGCAGAATACTTAAATTCAACATATTTCACGTGTCCCGAACAGCCCACGCAAATCCTTGTGTTAATCTAACGCAAGATGAATATGTTGAGAGGTAACACAAATATTGCGCCAAGAATGAATACGGAATTACAACATGTTAATCGACACCGAAGTGTAAAATGTCTTATTTCAACGCTCGCACACTTGTTGTATATCGATTCAACACAAAATATACCGAGATAACGTGAAGATAATACGTTGAATTAACACACGGTATTTAACACAAATTTCATACGAAGATTTTAACAGAAACCAACTGTAGAAAAATGTTTTTCACTGTATATAATTAATTCAAGTGCATAAACAACAGAATATTATCTATTATTCTTGCATATCGACGGTGTTAAAGTAGACGTAGAAAATATACATACCCTCGTTTAATAAGAAAGCAGCGTCGTGACAATGTTGCGATCGTCTGTACAAGACGACGTCTATCCCAACCGTCGTATCGCGATCCGCTCGTTTCTTCCTTCGTTTCTTTCTTCCCGCCTCGTTGCGCGCAAAGTGAGGATCAACGCTGTGTTTTATCATCCGACATTTATTTCCCTTCCTCTGTCGCTGTTAATTCGCACCAGCCTATTGGCCCGCCGGAGCCCCCGTGCTTCAACCCCCAACGACGGTGCCCACCTCTCTAGTCGGTCGCGCACTTTATCCGCCTCCCCGGCCCCGGTGGATGCAATTTTAATCCCGAATTCCAAGAAAATTACCTTGCCGTCAGAGCTGTTTAAGGGGGTACTAGGTGAGATTGCCTCTGTTACCTGTCAGCCCGCTTGACATATACTATATTATGCACCGGGCTGTTCAAACTAGTCTTGAGATTATTCTCTAATTTAAATTTCTATTTTCCCCTATTCTCCCCTCTTTCTTCGTTCCGTCCCTTCCGAGCCGGAGCGATCGCATTTTAATNGGGGGGGGGGGCAGGGACTCGGGTGTATTTTAGCAAATCGCAAATTTGGAAACTTCTGCGTCCGCACATTTTCACAAACAAACAAGCCCAATTGTGCCGCTTGCATTTTCAACTAGAGCCGGCGTTAAATTTTTAATTGCAATTTTGCTACGAAACTTTACGCTTTTATCAAGCGAAACAAAAGCCTTACAACGTTTATTATTAGTTATACGAGTTATAATTGGTGGGAACTGTAGAATGTGTATCGAGCATGGGCGAATATGTGCGTGTATCACTCGTCCTTTGTGAGTGTTTCACATTACGGAGAAAACAAACGTACCTGCAGCCCGCTGAAAACCGCGCTCTTTGGGAACACGAGATGCATCCGACTGAGTGAAGGAAGGAGAATGGCGAAGCTAATGGAGCGATAACACACATCGGACGACGGTATTTTGTTTATTCGCGGCGATATCACGAAAATTGTTACGCGGAAACGAGGAACGTTAGTTAATAGAAACGTTCTTTCCGCGTCGATGAAGAACAAAGACGTAATTATAACGTTGCTCCGCGTTGTCAAGAGATTTCATGTTTAAAGGTAGAGCAAGAATAACGTCGTTCAATGTGTGTGATCCAAAATTAGGAGAAAAATGACTCGGTAACAGTGGTGACGCAATGTTCAATAATTGAATACAACGATTAATAATAATAGTAACAATAACGACTTTATTGCCACATACATAAATAAATGGACATGGCCGATGTACAGCGTACAAGCTGGATCGCAATCCGATCCGGATGCGTCGAAACTACTGTCGCATTCTCTCTCTCTCTCTCTCTCTCTCATTCTCTCTTTCTCTCGTTCTCTTTTATTCTCACTCACTCTCTCTCTCTCTCTTTCTCTCGCCTTTTTCGGCGGCGCACGCAGCCCGATGCAGCCGTCGCCCTACTTACAACAATGTTTCTACTTTGTATCGGAGCACGGGTTAAACAGACACCGCGTTAGAAGTAAGCGATTCGCGAGGAGTAATCTCCTTGAAAGGGCCCCGCGCCACCAGCACCGAGAGCGCGGGCTTGTGGGAGCTACGAACGATTTGCCTACAAGTGGTTTTGCCGCGCGAGGCGTACACTCGGTACACCGGGGGGAGATGTAAAGTATCGAACGAAGGGGTGGGCGCCGAGGGTGCTACGGAGCGGGAACAAAAGAGGGACGACCGTGGGATCGTCGTCGTCTGTCCGATTTACCGCGGGCGCTGGCCTGAACGGCGATCGCGCGTCTCGCCGACGCACATACGCAGACCGGCCCAACGCATCAAGTTACACCTGTTTAGAGATCATATTGTATTCCTTACGGGGAGTTCTCGAATGACACAACTTCGTGGTGTCGAGGCCGTTACACACAGAGAAATATTGCCTGCACTTCGAAAGGAAGCAATTAGTTACTATTATTGTTATCCTTCATTTAAGTAATGATTGTCTTGAACGAAGAACATTCTCTCGAGATTATAGTGTCACTTGATATTTATGATGAACTTGTGAAATACTTGAAACAAGTATACATGATACAAGTATACATTTACAGGTATGTCATAAGTTCATCACAAGCACGTTAAACTAACTTAAAATACATTCTAAACCCTAACAAGTTTAATACTTCATAATCAACAATATCAAGTTGAACACTACAACTAAAAAGCTTCTGTTTATTTATCCCGATCAACCGGATTTAACATTTCCTCGATAAAGTTTATAATATTCTTGGGAAGGGAACAAATTCTTCTTTTGAATGAGATGACAATGAGCTCTTCTGATACTTGCGACGAGTATATTTCAATACCACATCGCAAGAGAATATTCTTAGTTCGAGACGGCCATGATTTAAAAGAAAAGGAAAAAAGAAACAGAATTAAACGGAACAATTGCTTTTCCTCGCGGTGCAAGTAATATTTGTCACCCGCCGGTCTGTGTGCGTTGCGACGGTCCGAATCCCCACCTACATCCGACTCGCTTAGCGTCGCGCGCGCGTTCAGCATCACACGTGTAGTACCATTTAGCGTAGTTAGCGTCGCGTGTAACGTCGCGATCAGCGCCACGCACGTTCCGATTGCTCCTTTTATTTTCCCCCCTCCCTTTCGTCTTTCCCCGTTCGATCGGCGACGGGGGATCGCGCGGGACAAATCGAAGCGCGAGTGCCGCAGCCGCGCGCAGTTTACAGCGTTAATGCGATGAGAGAACCCGGGTCCGGTGATGCGTGCATCACGGGGTAGCGTCGCGGCGACAGTGCTACGTACACATAGTATTATATACGATCTATCCACGGTACCCACGAGGATCCCCGTGGGCGGATCCCCGATGGACATCCAAGGGCCCCCACCGGGGGGAATATACAAGTTCGTGCCGAATTCAGAGTTCGCGCCAAACAGGCGGAGCGCGCGCGCGCGCTTCAACACGGCGGGGAAATAGCGGGCGCCGCGAGCCTTCCGCAGGAAAAACTTGAAGCGAACGCGCGGCGAGAATCTCGCGCTCTTTTCCCCCGCGTATCTCGCATTGACCGGCGGCGGTGATGCGAGAGAAAAAGTTCAAGGGAAGACCCGGTGAATGGCGCTTGAAAATATTCTTCAGAGAGAATTTCCCGAATAGCCCGCGATTTCGTGGGGGAATATTTCCGGCCGGTCAAGATCTCGCGAGGATTCTCTTTGTATCTACGACGGCGCGCTTTACGCCGCCGGAAGGGAGAAAGCGGCCCCGACGCGCGAGCGAGCGCGTCTCGCGTTTCTGGTTCGTGTAAATATCGCGCGGATGAAGATCGGCTCGCGCTCTGCGGAACACCGTGAATAGGGGCGAATTGACGTGCGCTCACGCGGGACCGGAGCCGGCAACAACGCCCGATTCCGCTCTGGCATGGCAACTCAATTAAACGTGATTGATGTTAAACTGAAAGAAAGCAAACAACAGAAAAAAAAGAACAAAAGAATTAAAAAAAAAAATATATATATATATATATATACATCGCGGAAAGAAATCCAATATACCGGTTAATTGACACGTGTGTATGTGTGTGTGCACGTCGGGGGCCACTCGTCGGCGTCTACGTCAGACGGTGAGTAAACTAGGAGTCCCCGTGGAGCGGTGCCCGGCATTTGAAAGTATATCGCCAGCATACGCCGCGCTCATCGAAAAATAGTGCTGCGAAATAATTGATTAGCTTTCGACTATTTGTATCGATTTACCGTGTCCTCTCTCTCCCTCTCTCTCTCTCTCACGAGGTATGTCCTGATACGTCGCACTCGAGATTTCCGCCCGTTTGACGCGGTAGATTCGTTTGATATCGTTTGCAGTGTTCCAATGAAGGCCTCGTCCCCGATCGCGCCGATAGCCGATCGCAGTGCTCCCTTCCTCTCTCTCTCTCTCTCTCTCTTTCTCTCTCTCTCCCATTTTTCTCTCGCTAGGATCACCGTGTCACACAGTAGTCCGCCGCGATTAGTCCTAACGAATCGTTCTGCGCTGTCGCGATACACCGCCGTCAAGCCGCGTCGTATTAGCAAATCGACTTGTCGGCTTGACAGGTGCCATCCGGCCTGGCGAGAAACAGCTTGCCACTCGCGCACGCACACAGCTGATAGATGGTGGTCTCCCTCTGGCTCTGATGAACGGATGAGGATCTGCCGGAGTGCTGTTGCTGCTGCTCCCTGGACGAGTGTCCTTGCACCGGGATGGCCGCCTTGAGACCCTTCATGTAGACGGACTTTGCGTCAAGCCTGATGGCTCCGTGAACGCTCTGCAGCTTCAGATCGGTCAGGCAGGAGGCCGAGATCTCGTTCGCCCAGGACTCGATCACCACCCGTTGGGGAGCGCTGATCTTCAAGGTCCTCGTCGCTGACTCGAGCCTGTGGCGTGACAATTAAAAGTCGTTTCTTGAATAAAGGTTAATCAGATAGACTGATATATAAGAAACGTCGAATTTAGACAAGATACGAGTCCTATAAAACACTTCCTCATAAATATATAAAAGAGGCAAGGATAAAGGATGAGGGAGTTACTTTCAATGCTTTGTAAACTTCTTTCCATGGATCATTGACAACCTTCAGAAGTTCCATTTTGCGCACAAAACTTATAGCTCTGATTCGCATCTACTTTTCTGTACACAATAACTTATCTACCGATTTGACTTCACGTTAATGTATCTATTGCATATTTTCTGATAGTCGTATACTCCCTATTTTCGTAACAATGATTAATTTATGTCTGTCATCTATGATCTTTCTATAACTCACGTTAAAGGGTATTCCCTAAATAAAAGTTATTATTGTTATTACCGGCTAAGTCGATGAAGATTGATGAGAAATAACAGGCGGTCGTTGTCGAATATACCGCGGGGAAATTTTCACGATAACGTAACAAGGTGGTTTCCTAGCTCCACGATTGAAAGTAAGACACGGATGTTCGCCGACGGCGCCGCGGCCGGGGTACTCGTATACCTCAATTTCAGTGCATTACGTTCCAACAATGACGCGGATTACACCGTAAATCTCTGTGTGCCGTAAACCGCGCGGCATTATACCCAAGTATTCCGGGGAAACGGAGTAATATCTGTATTGACTCCGGGCTCGAAGTCGAACTCTCGCAATAATCGATTCTCCCACCCGTAGGAAGAAGACGGTCCATGCCTCGTCCGTCTCCTCCGTTCTCCGTTCAGCCGTTGCTCTTTTACCGTCTACTCCGCCACCTTATTCTCCCACAGTCTCTCACCCCCTGCTTCTCCCCCCTCGTCCCCGTTCTCCTCGTCTCCACCCCGTTCTCGCTCTACCTCTTCGGGAACTCGTAGGATCCGCGGTATTTCATATCTGGCGCAAATCCAATCCTATGAATATAATTTTCCGCGCGAGCAAAGTTTTATTGTAATCGTAAATCCGTCTGTAAATTGCCCGGCGCTATCAATAACCGCACTGGCGGTACAACTCCGTTCTGTGTCCCCTCTCGCCC